TATAATACCTCTGATTGATGAGAGAAAGCTCTGGTACAGAGTACGCTGTACAGAGCTGATGTATACTCCAATACTCCCAGTGCAAGAAGTGAACCTGTTGCAAGAGCATCTAATTTACTAAGAAGGCACATTATGTTGTTCACTGTGTCCTTTTGGGGTCTGGTCTTCAGTGAGATGATCCACAGGGAGTTCCTGTTGCTAAAGGCAGCTGAGCCAAGGCAGGAACACAGGTGAAATACGCAGCTGCAACTCAGCCAGCCCAGCCCTATCAATATGGGCACCACTCATACCTTCCACTGGCACAGCCCTTCCACTGGCACAGCAGAAATTCCATCCCAGGGAACAATCTGCTTGTGGGACCTAAAGCACCCACCTCCAACAGCTCTAACACTGCCTTTCCTCCCCTGGAGGATTCTCACAACCAGGATCCTGTATAAATCTGAATCTTGGCAATTCCACGAGAGCCAACACACTTAGCTCTGTCTGTTTTGCAGTTTAAGGGCTCACCTATGCCAGTGGAGAGAAAGTATGGCCTTAAATACAATCTTAAGATAGCAATTTAGAAAGACCTATGTTGTAATTTGTTGTTACTTTATCTTCAAAGTCTAAAATGAACCCCATGTCAAAGTGGAAAACTACAGACACGGAGAGCAGACAGCTAACTGCTTCTTTCTGTTATCATATTTCTCATTTTCTCATGGTACCAATGCTGGAGAGACCAGAGCAACAAAGATGCAGCAACAAAACAGCAAGATGTTAAGACAGGGACCAAAAAGAGGAGGAAGAGGACTTGGGTCTGCTGGACAATGAGACCAAGAACGGATGCAAAAATACAGAAAGTAAGTGGAAGAAAGAACTGCATCTGGACACTGGAACAGTTTCTGGGATAGAAATCATAAAAGGTAGATTGGCTACTACAAGAAGTGCCCAGAAGCAGAAAAGGAATTTGCCACTCAGAACTGCCAGATCCCATGTAAACCCTATAAACTCTCCTCTACTGCTGCTCTGATTGAAGGATCCACCAAATGTCTCAATTCCTCAGGCTATTCATGCCTGCATATGGAGATCACCAACTATTGCTATTGGGAACTCCAGTAATCCACAGGGCTGCAGGGCTGAAGTCACTGGGACAAAAACTAATGAAGCTGCTGATATAATTTTACATAATCATAGCTCAGATTTTCCAATTTTATCAAGAAAACTAACATAGAAAATTATCTAGAAAAATACTTTTTTTTTTTTTTTTTAAGGAATATCATTCATTCCCTCTGAAGACGGAAAATCTAAGAAATAAGGCTATTACATCAAATTTCACTTTCATTGTGCATTATTATAGTTAAATTAGTCCCCTGACACCCTGACCTGCATCTCATTTAGCATAGAAAATGAATGTCACTTTGGTCACGATTGAGCTATTATATACAGAACTCCTCCTTGCTCTGAAGGAAGGAGTACACGTGTCAGCATGTTACCCGTGAATGGGAACTCTCCATGAAAAGAGGTGAGAAAGCACAGAAAAAGAAGCAAGGGGAGAAGGAGGAATGGAAGGCACAACTGCAGAGCGTGAATGTCCCTTGTGGATTCTATGCCAGTGTCTGCAAAAAAGTTACAGTGCAAGATGGAGAAAAGTCATCATATCTGGTCAGTGGCTATGCTTTCCACCCCCTCAATCCTCACAATCTGAAGCCAGAACCTCAAACTCAGGAGCCAGAGCCCTCCAGAGCAGTTGGACTTCTGAATAGGCATAAAAGAAAACACTACCAAAACCAAACACAAACAGGTGGCAAAAAATGAGCTGATATTCTGTGGGGAAAACAGCACAAAGATCAAAACAAAAGTTAACCCCTTTCCACTGCAAAGCACTGCTGTAACAACAGCTCTGTGTAGCACAGCATTGCTAGTCCTCCCTGCAGAAAGAAGCCCAGAGGAAGTTAAAAATTCTGTTTCATTCCAGCATTTGGACGTTGGGCAAAATCAATACATAGAGCACATAATGAACAATGAAGACTTCAATCTGAGCCACTATCCCTTCCCTGGATGAAACAAGGTCCTGATGTGACTACGTAATTAGTCTGTCATACCAACACCACAATGCCAAGACAAGGTTTGCAGTCTTAATTTTGCAATTATTAAATCTGCTGCTCTCATCTCTCTATACCTGTCACATTAATGAAAAAACAAACAAACAAACAAACAACAGTTTATGTTATTAGAATTATCAACTGCTTTTCTAGGGCAAAGACAGCACAGCGTAGATGACAGGCAGCACAGGGGCAAGGGATGCAGAAGACCAGTGCTCATGGGCAGCACAAGCCACAGCGCGCAGCTGCTATCTCCCTGGGCAGCAGCACAGGGAGGAGCCTTCCTGCACCCAGCACACTTAATCTGCAACACAGATAATCTGCCATGAATAATCGAGAGTTGACTGTAGACAGCAGAACTCCATTAACCTCACAACTCGCTGCACCAGGCCATGTCCTCACTAAAGTGCTCAGTGACCGATTAACCTCAAGCGCACTGCCCCTCACAAACACCTCAGGACTAGAAACGGGACCCCATAGGCCTCCAAGGGTCTCCAGGCCTACACTGAGATGCTTCATTTCATATTCACAGGTTTTGAAGACACCAGGGAATCTACTAGCATCATCTGATATTTTCAGGTCTGATACTAAGTAAATCTTTGTCTCAAGAAGAGCGGTTGGGCAATGGAACACGCTGCCAGGAAGGTGATGGTGTAGTCACCATCCCTGGAGGTGTTCAAGAACCATGTGGATGTGGCACTGATGGACATGGTTAGTGGGCATGGTGGGGATGGGTTGGAGGTTGGACTAGATGATCTTAGCGGTCTTTTTCAACTGTAATGATTCTGTGAATCTCTGTACACGAGAACTGTACGCCCAGCTCTGCTGCAGGACAGGAGACGCCTCTTCATTCACCCCTTGGACCAAGCCTTTTCAGTGGTGAGTGGAGACAGGACAAAGGGAAACGGCCAGAAACTGCAGCATAGGAAGTTCCGCACAAACGTGCGCAAGAACTTCTTTACAGTGAGGTGACGGAGAGCTGGAACAGGCTGCCCAGGGAGGTGGTGGAGTCTCCTTCTCTGGAGATGTTCAACACCTGCCTGGATGCCGACCTGTGCGACCTGCTGTAGGGAACCTGCTTTGGCAGGGGGGTTGGACTCGATGATCTCTGGAGGTCCCTTCCAACCCCTACAATTCTGTGATTCTGTGAAATCTCTGGACGTATCAGTAAGAACGCAATTTACAAAACTTCCAGGTCAGGGTTATCTGATGGGCAGGAGCACAGATAAAATAAAGCTCACAACCACACAGACTCCTCCAACCTCCAGGAGCACCTGAGATGAAAAATCTGACCAGACACAGCAATCCTGACAAACCACAGAGCAGGCGTGTTCATTAGGCACTCCACGTAAATACTGAAGCCCACATCATAGCACTGCTGTGAGGACAAAAAAAAAAGGGACTGGGGTGCCCAGAGAAGAGGATGTTTCTGACCACTGGAATCACAAGGAAAGAGAACAAAGCAGCATCTCAAGTCAGGTCTTGGACAGGCAGCTTCAACTTCTTTGGTTGGCTAGCTTAACCAACATCCCAACATCAGGGCATCACCTGTAAAGCACACATCCCACCACCAGACTGAAGTCCAAGAAATTATCCAGTTCTTGCTAATCCTTCTGGCCTTTCCCCTCCCTCACTGAGTACAAACAGAAAAAAAAAAAAAAAAAAAAAAAAGGAAAAGAAAAGAAAAGAAATTCTAAACATTCTCCGTGACTCTATGGAGAAAGTAATAATCTCATAAAAGTAGTATAGCAAAGGCTTTGTTAGCTAAAGAGACTTGTAATTAATTGCTAACATTCCTAAGGAAAAGTTTCCAGCGATATGTGAGAATTGGACATCTTGAAAACTGCAGTAAGACTCTTGGATCTCCTGCTGGCTAACAGCAGCCAGGCAAAGCTACTGCCAGAAAGCATGAAGCTGTTGTATTCACCCTCCCAGCTCCTTCAGCACATTGGATGGGAGTAGCTGAAGGCCAGTTTCCAAGGGGAAAAAAAATATCATTAAGATGAAGGTCTCTACACAGCTTAATGTAAGCGTAAGGGCAGAATGTAGACTCCTTTTTCTGGATTAGCAGAAAGTGTACGGAGATCCCAGCCCACCTCTAGTTCTAGCTCAAAATATCGCAGTTTGCAGACTGAGTCCAAACATGAACAGCAAAGCAAACAACCAGAAGAAAAGAAACCTTACCAAAATTCCTCTGAACCAGAAACCAAAGCACCAACCAAGGTCTGCACAGAATGGCTGATAAGAAAATGAAACTTGCAACTATCGCCACAGGACAAACGAAACGCAGCTAAAAGAAGGGCATTCATCTTTAATCGTGATGAAGGAAGGTAGGGATTGTTAGGCATTGGAATTTCCAAACCCTGGAACCCAGGAGCCCTGTCCTCCTAGGCAGCGAAGCCCCCCGCTCTCCTCCAGGCACCTCACGCACACGGACGGGTCACAAGGCAGCCGTGACCGCTCCGAGCCCCGAGCTCCATTCCTCCCGCGCGGAGGGCGGCGCGACGGCGGGCGACCAGCGCCGAGCTCTGCCGTTCTCCCCGCTGCAGCTCCGGGAGGGCGGCCCCGTGTCTCCCCGCTTTCAGCATCGCCGCGCGGCACCTGCCTGGCCCCCGCCCCGTTGCGGCTCGCACCCTCCCGGCCCTCCAGCCGCAAAGGCCGCGAAGGGCCCGCGAAGCTCAGCCCGGTCCCGCCGCTCTTTCTGTCCTCCCGCCTCTTTCTTCTCCCGCTCCCGCCCGGGCCTGCCGCACCACCTCCTCGCGCCCGGCACTCGCGGCCGCCGCCCGCGCCCCGCTCGGCGGCCGCTCCCCGCTGCCCTCCTGCTCCCCGCCCCGGGCCCTCGCGTCGCCCTCCCGCTCCCTCCCGCCGCCTGCGCCACCGCAGAAGGCCGCGGTGCTCGGGCCGCCGCCCGTCGCTCACCGCTTTTGACGTCGCCGGGCGCCGCGCCGCCCGCGGCCGCCGCGCCGCCCGCTCCGCCGCCCGCGCCACCGCCCGCCGACGCCGCTCCGGCTCCGCCGCCCGCCGCGGCCCCGCCGCCTCCCGCCGCCGCGGCGCCGCCGCCTGCCGCCGCCCCGTTCTCTTGCTCGTCGCCGCTGCTGTTGGCGCGCTTGTTCTTCTTGCCCTTGCCGCCCTTCTGGTTCGGCATCGCGGGCCCGGCCGCCGCCGCGGCGGCGCGGGCGGGCGGGCGGCGGCGGCTGCGGAAGGCGCCGCCGCTACCTCCGGCTCATGGCGGGGCCGCGCTGCGCCGCGCCCGCTGTGGGCGGCGGGGCCCGGGGGGGGACGGGGCGGGGAGGGCGAAAGGCGTGTCCCGCTCAGCCGCGCCGCCGCCCCGCTTCCTCCTGGAGCAGGCGCTGGCGGCGGCGAGAAGCGGAGCGCGCCCGGGGGTGGAGGAACGGGGCTGAGCTGGGCTGAGCGTGGCAAGCGGAGCGGGAGGGGCTTGCTGAGAGGGGGGAGCCCCGTTGCCGCCGGCACGGTTGGAGGGGCGGTGCGCCCTTCGCAGCCGGGAGGCTGCCGTCGTGGGCCGCGGCGGGCTCCGGCGGGAACGGGAGGGCTGCGAGGCGGGGCCGGTGGCTGCCAGGGTCCGTCTGAGTGCTCCCCGCCGGGGCCCCAGCTCCTCCATGGTCTGCACCGGCGGTGTAGGCGGCCGCACGGCAGCTCCCTTGCAGAGAACAGCTGGGAAACCACCCAGAGGTGCAGAAATATTAAAAATATATATTCAAATAGTGTAGACTCGTGTTTGGAGGAGGGAACAGGCCTTGCGGCATGATAGCCCTGAGATTCCAGAATTAGTTTCACTATTTTAGGGATGGCTGTGCATGTGGCAGGTAGCAGAGGTGAGATGTCAGGTTGGATGGAGACTCAAAGTGCCGTGCTCATGCAGGGCTGGAAGCGGCTGTGCCTTCACAGAGGCTTTGGAAGGGGAGGCTGCCAGATTGCAGGCTTGGTGGGAGGCACTGCAGAAAATGGGTGACAAATATTACCAAGATTTCTGTGCCTAGAGTGGAGAGGTGCTGTCAGCCAGCTGCAAGCAACACTTGCAGCATACTGCTGACTAACAGCAGCTCCTCACTTCAAGTGACGCCTGCTGATGTGCTCACCTCAGTACCGACAGCTTATCCCACAGGAGAGTGAAAAATACAACCTGTCATGAGAACAGCACACCAGCCGCCAGGCTGCGTGATTATTCTAGCCTCACAAGCTTTTCCTTTCACATAAATTAACTTTTTTTTTCCTTCTGACCCAAATCCTGCAGATTAAGTTTCCATGATTCCCTTCAGGAGGAAGCACCCAGATGTGCAGAATGTGCATTTGTGGAGAAATTTACAGCCAGCAGCCGGGGCCTGACCCAGACTGCAAGGAACAGCCTATGTGGGCTACACGGGCTGTGGGGTCAACATGGGTAAGCCAAAACCTGCAGGGAGTGAGGTCTGCCTGATGGGAGGTTCTTGCAGTTTGTAAGTCACTGTGTTTGCCTGAAAGAATTCCCAAATCTGCTCTTACTGGAACATACCTGGCACACCTCATACCTGCAGCTGGTGCCTGAGTTCTCCAGGAAAACCAACCCCTGTATTTCCAAACACCCTTTGAAGCAGCTATTGAATGAAATTTTCCATCGCATGGCCAGTTTCTTTGCCTGCGGACAACAACATTTTAGAGAGGCTTTAAAGCTCTTTCTTGTGTTGGTGGAAACCTGAAGTAATTTGCTTCCCATAGCTAAATGTCCTACCTACCTTATCTCACAGCTTTGAAGCTTCTAAATTGCATTTCTGTCTAGAAACCAAACAAACATGGAAAGTGTGGCCAATTTCTAAGGCTACAAGTTCAGGTAAATCCTAATCCCAGTCATCTTGATTGCAGAATTTCCATTTATTTTGGCAAGGGCAGATTTCACCCCTAGTTCTTCAGGTTTCCAAAACAAAGAAATGGATCCATCCCACTGCTGTGCTCACAGCCTTATAAATAGGCTTGCCTGCTGTGATGGAGGTTGAGGAAATCTTTCCAAGTCTTCGGGTTCCTATAAAGCATAAAAACCCCATGGACACAAAATAGGAGCCTGGTTTTTGCATCTGCTGAGTGTGGAGTTTCAGACTAAGTGTTCCAGTTTGAGCAAGGAAGTAACTACTAATGGTGTTTCAGAGCTGCTGGAGGAGTAACAAATGACGAATGTAAGGAAAAAGGTTTTTTACTGCAAGGGTAATGAAGCACTGGAATGAGTTGCCAGAGAGGTGCTGGATGCTCCATCCCTGGAGATATTCAAAGTCAGTCTGGATGGGGCTCTGAGCAACCTGATCCAGCTGCAGGTGTTCCTGTTCACTGCAAGAGAGTTGGACTGGACGGCCTTTGAAGTCCCATGCAATTTAAACAATTACATATTTCTATGAGATGCTGAAATGCTGTGACTAGGTATCAATGTGATGTCTCTACCATCGGCTATGCGAATCTCAACTCCCCAGTTTGCAATCCTTTTACTTGTGAGTGTTGTTCCATCAATGGGTGAGACTCTTGGGGTGAAATCAGACTAAAGGCTGCTGGTTAAAATTTCCAAGGGGAGGAGCAACCCCAGACACCAGGACATGCCGATGGGCACTGGTCCAGTAGGTTTCTACAGGGTCAGGAGGACCCCTCCATGTTGAGTGAGTGGTCTTATGGAGGGAGTTGGGGGGAGAATGTGGTCTCCAGCATCACCACAAAGACCTCCTGTTCTCTATCCAGTTGAATGCAGACAGTTGTGCTGTGGTCCATGAGTCTTTCTGACACAAATTCAGTTGGGGTTTTTACTGGAGATACAGCTTTTGGGCAAGTGCGATTACTCCACACCAACCTGTACTATGGATTCCCTCTCCACAATTAAATCCTTTGCAAATGTCTTGTTTTTCATAACTAAGAAGTAAGCACACCTTTTTCAGAAAGATGATGGATGTTCTACACAGGGTAGGTGTGAGCATTTCAATCTCAAAAATCTTATTAAAAAACAGGTAAGCAGTTAATATATTTGCATAAAATTTGAAAAACTTAACTAGATCTGTTCACTCTTTAATCTTTTCCATTTATCATACTATCTCAGGAGTTTTTTTTATCAGAGTAGACCCAATTTCCTCCTGTATCTGTGGAGAAAAAAAGTTCCCATAAGATACACATTTTGGGTTTATGGATATTGGTCAGTATTTCACTCTCAGTATAATCCCTTTTGAGGTTAAAAATGAGCTGAAAGCATCAATAACAGAAATAAATGACTGTGCCTAATCAGTATGATGGTATAGAAGGAATGAATTTCTCAACGGATACAGACTAGGCACTTGAAATCGGGGTCATACTCTGAGGAAAGACTCAACTGACAAGGAATGGGAGTAGATAAAATAGTGCCATTTTACTTAAATTGCTGACATGGAGAGGAAGCCACTCCATGGCTGACAAAAAGAGTAAGAGAGCCAGTGGAAAGAGGTTGTGAATCATTTTATGATCATTCTGAAATATTCAATAAAAATATACTGTATTATAAAGATTTTATTTAGATACTTGAATGGAAACATAAGGTGCCAAAGAGGGAATTCTAAGTTTAAAACAGCAAAAAGTCAAACTCAGACCTCTGCATTTCTCCTGCATAACTTTAGAAAGCTCATTCAAATCCAATTTTAACTCATCAGATCTCCTAGAAAGAAAGTGTCCTTTGTGGAAGGTAAAATAGACTAATTTGACTTCTTTATTTTTTTGCTAGTTGTCACTCTTCCTACCCATACACCAGGATTTTGTGTGCCCAGTTACTCGAACAGGCTGAAAAGTCACCTCTGGGCTCCAATTAGTTGCCTTTCAAAAACCTTCTCACAGAAGATAGATGCATTCCTTGACTTCTGCAGACCCTCAGCAGTGCTGCAATGCTTGCCATCATCTCCCATTCCTGGTTATTGAAGCACCTGCTGACCGCCCAGGAACATCTGCACAGCCCCCAGTCGTACCTGGCGTTGGCTGAGAGACAGAAAGCAACATGGGTGTGAGAGAGGAAGTGACACTGGTTTCTCAACCCATTCCTCATTTCTTCTAAGTAGTATTATACGAGTCCTTCCAATTTTAAAGACAACCAAAGCTGGGTTTCTCAAAGCATATTTCCACTTCATGTGGAATAATGGCACACAGGCTGTTCTAGTTGCAGTTGGTTGGTGAAATTTGCCAGGGAAAAAATGGTTTGATCAGAAAATGTGAATGCGTTGGCTCAGAAATGATTTGTAGAAGCAGACTGAATGCAGTCTCTTGAAAAGCTCCAAGTGTTTTTTAAGTCCTGTGAACTCTAGCTCCAGAGTTGCACATTATAACATTTTGCAACTATTGAGGGAAAATTGGTGGCATCTGTTACCTTTACTGTTACTATTCAGAAGGGGGAAAGTGATAAAGTTACAGGAAATTATATCAATTTCACAGTTGTTGTTGAGATGACAGGCAGTGCACAGATTTTCCGAGGGAATATCATGTGTCTGTGAAAGATATCCTTATTGTAGGAAATTGCAAAGCATAAAATTATCCACAACCTGGAAAATTTTCCACTTTCCACAAGTGTTTACTGCAAAGAAGTTTTCAGTATTTCTTCTGGTCATTTACTGACCAAGAATAAACAGAAAACACGATATGTAATCCTTAAGCTGTTACTCATTCCTTGAATAATAGATTCTATTTTTCACAAAGGCTCCAAGCAATGCCTTCTTGGCATCTGTAGGAAGATGCCACACCAACAGTTGTGGAAGTAGAAGTGAAGAAGTTTTCAGGCCACCCTCACAATGTATACTTTGAGTTTCAGAACATGCAGCAGGGCAAAGTTAGCAGCCCTGTAGGCTGGCTGTAGCTCTGAGGAGAGGGACATGCAGGGTCAGCTTCCTGATATAGCTACATGTAAACAGCTGGGTTTCAGGATTTATAATGAGATCTCAGGAGATGGGTTCTGCTGTTGCTAATTGGTGTTACTCAACTGAATGGGAAGATGGGTTTAGACATCTGCGGCAGGGAAACTGCAGAGCTCTGTAGAACCTTACATGAAATTAAGTGGTGTTGTATGTAATACTTTGTGCTCAAATGAGCTCGAGTGCTGGTGATCAGGAGTGAAGGCCCAGGTTCCAGCAAAAGCGGAGCATGAGGTTCAAGCTGTGCCAAGAATGCCTGTGCTGCATTTCCCAGTATTGCAACTG